GTGATGGGGCTGCTGGGAACGGGTGGGCAACGCTGGCCCATGCCCAGGTAACCCCATCCCATGCACATCCAACCGCGTCCCATGCTCACCCAACTCCATCCCATGCACACCCAACCCCATCCCACGCTCACCCAACTCCATCCCATGTTCACCCAACCCCATCCCACGTTCACCCTATGCTGTTCCATGCTCCCCCAACTCCATCCCATGTTCACCCAACTCCATCCCATGCTCACCCAGCTCTATCCCATCCTCACCCAACTCCATCCCATCCTCACCCAACTCCATCCCATGCTCACCCAACTCCATCCCATGCTCACCCAACTCCATCCCATGCTCACCCAACTCCATCCCATGTTCACCCAACTCCATCCCATGCACACCCAACTCCATCCCATTCTCACCCAACTCCATCCCATGTTCACCCAACTCCATCCCATATTCACCCAACTCCATCCCATATTCACCCAACTCCATCCCATGTTCACCCTATGCTGTTCCATGTTCACCCAACTCCATCCCACGCTCCCCCAACTCCATCCCATGTTCACCCAACTCCATCCCATGCTCACCCAACCCCATCCCATGCTCCCCCAACTCCATCCCACTGTGATCTCCCCCCAACCCCGAGGACCAGGGGCTCCCACCGACCTGTCTGGGAGATGATGGCCAGGCGGGAGGTGTAGGTGGGGATGAAGCGGAGGAAGAAGGGGTCGATGTGGACCTGCAGGGGGGTGATGGCCCTCATCATGCGCAGGTCGTAGACCTTGAGGAAGCGGTCGCAGGCCAGCCCGTTCATGCGGCTGGAGAAGCCGCACGTCACCAGCAGGTTCCCGTGCACGTCGAAGTCGGACAGGCTCCCCGAGTAGGCCTCGAACTCGTGCTCCACCACAAAGGTGCGCAGGTCCCGCAGGGAGACCTGGATGGGGCGGGATGGGGACGGGCTGGGAGCTCCTGGAGCATCCGGCCCCATGGGATCCTGCCTCGGGATGGGGCTGGGGGTACCTTCCCCGAGGTGTGCCCGCAGAAGAAGAAGCGGTTCGATTGCCTCATGATGGTGATCCCGGGAACCTCCACCGTGTACTGGGAATGAGGCACAGGAGAGGGGTTGAGCAGGGGTGGAGGCCGACCCACGGCACCTCCCGATGGTGGGGAGCAGCCCCCAGCACCTTCTGCGTCTCCTGCACGGTGTTGAGGTCTATCTCCAGGACGTGGCTCTGCAGGCCAGCCACCAGCAGGGTGCTGCTGTCGGTCAGCAGGAGGCTGTGCATGTCCTCAGACTCCTCCATGCTGCATGGAAAGGGCACTCCCCATAGAGCCACCCTGCCCACGGAGGGGCTGGGACCGTCTCCCCCAGTCCAGGGCACTGGGAGGAGGCACTTACAGGTAGTCGAAGATGATGAGGCCGCCGCGGGACATGCACTTGAGGTTGGTTTTGGTGAGGAAGAGGACGCCGCTCTCCAGGCTCTGGATCTGGCGGATGTCGTCGCTGCTGTTCACTTGGAAGGAGGAATACCTCTCCAGCGTGGGGCCGAAGAAGGAGGTGGCGTGGCCCTGAAAGCACCGGCGACAATGGGGAGAACCCCCCCAAGGTGGGGTTTGAATCAAGGGGAGAGGGGCACTTCCTGCCCCTGCGGGCCTGGGAAACCCACGTGGATTTGTCCCTTTGAAGCAGGTTCATGGAATCATGGAATGCTCTGGGTTGGAAGGGACCTTAAAGCTCATCCAGACCCATGGGCAGGGGCACCTCCCACTGGAGCAGGGTGCTCCAACCACTGCATCCAAACCTCCTCCGTTCAACCCATCCCAGCACCCCCACAGGGAAGAACCCCCCTAGATCCAAGCTGAACGCCCCCTGCTCCACTCTGCACCCACCACCCCTCATCCCATCCCCATAATGGGGCTCCCCAGGCACCTACCCCATGGTTCCCCACCCACAGCATCTCCTCGTGGAGGTCGAAGTGGGAGACGGAGACGGGCACCCCCACCTCGGACACGGCCGTGTGCAGCTCGCTGTAGACGCCTTCCATGAGGTGCACGGACTCCGGCACCGGGAGCCCCTCCAGGGGCACCCCCTCGGCGTCCAGCTCCACGCTGGGCAGGAGGCTGGGGTTGAGGTGCGGGTCCAGGCCCGGGTCCAGCGCCGGGTGCAGGGGGGCTCCGTAGTCTGCGAGGGAGGGGTTGAGCCCCTCGAAGTTCATGCTGAAAACCTCTGGAGCAGAGAGAGGAGTGCCTGGGGCTGGGAAACAGCGGCACCGGGCTGGGACCAGAGCCAGCACTGGGGCAGAACCGGCAGCACTGAGGCAGCGCCGGACCCACACCAGCAGCACCAGGGCAACACCAGCAGCACTGGGGCCATACTGGACCCACACCAGCAGCACCGGGGCCATACTGGACCCACACCAGCAGCACCGGGGCCATACTGGACCCACACCAGCAGCACCGGGGCCATACTGGACCCACACCAGCAGCACCGGGGCCATACTGGACCCACACCAGCAGCACCGGGGCCATACTGGACCCACACCAGCAGCACCGGGGCCATACTGGACCCACACCAGCAGCACCGGGGCCATACTGGACCCACACCAGCAGCACCGGGGCCATATTGGACCCACACCAGCAGCACCGGGGCCATACTGGACCCACACCAGCAGCACCGGGGCCATACTGGACCCACACCAGCAGCACCGGACCCACACCAGCAGCACCGGGGCCATACTGGACCCACACCAGCAGCACCGGGGCAACACCAGACCCACACCGGGAGCACCGGACCCACACCAGCAGCACCGGGGCAGCACGGGACTCACACCGGCAGCACTGGGGCAGCACTGGACCCACACCAGCAGCACCGGGGCAGCACTGGACCCACACCAGGGAAGCACCAGACCCACACCAGCAGCACCGGGGCCGCACGGGACCCACACCAGCAGTACTGGGACAGCACTGGCAGCACCAGACCCACACCAGCAGCACCGGGGCAGCACTGGAACCACACCAGTAGCACCAGGGAAGCACCAGACCCATACCAGCAGCACTGGGGCCGCACTGGACCCACACCAGCAGTACCGGGACAGCACCGGACCCACACTGGCAACACCAAACCCACACCGGCAGTACCGGGGCCGCACGGGACCCACACCAGCAGTACTGGGACAGCACTGGCAGCACCAGACCCACACCAGCAGCACCGGGGGCAGCACCACACCAGTAGCACCAGGGAAGCACCAGAACCATCAGCACTGGGGCCGCACTGGACCCACACCAGCAGTACCGGGACAGCACCGGACCCACACTGGCAACACCAAACCCACACCGGCAGTACCAGGGCCGCACTGGACCCACACCAGTAGCACCAGGGAAGCATCAGACCCACACCGGCAGCACTGGACCCACACCAGTAGGACCGGGGCAGCACCGGACCTACACCGCGAGCACCGGGGCAGCACCGGCAGAGCCCCCGCGGGGAACCGGACACCCCAAGCCCCGCCTCACCGCTCCCCCCCCACCGCGGGGGGCACGGGGCCAGCTCCGCGCCCGCCTCCGTTATCTCGGCGGGGCCGGCCCCGACCCCAGGCCGGTATCAGCAGCCGCAGCCCCGGGCGGGTCCCCGCTGGCCCCGAGCCGTTCCCCACCGCCCCCCGCGCCCGCCGTTACCGCGCTGGGCCCGGGCTCCTCCCGCTGCGCAGCCACGGCCGGGCCGGCGCCGCCGCCGTCGCTATGGCAACCGCGCCCACCGCGCACCGGCCCGGTGCACCGGCTGGCTTCCCGGGACCGGCGGACCAATGGCGACGCAGAGTCTCGAGCGCTGGCCAATCAGCGCCGGAGTGAGGCGGGACTAAGCGGCCCGGCTGGGGTGGTGTGCGGGACGGCGCGGCGGAAGGGACAAAAAGGATGGAACCGGACGTACCGGAGTTCGCGGGTGTCCGCAGATGCTCCGCGATGTCCTGCGCTGCTCCCGAGCATCCGCGGCGCCCCACAGTGCCCCACAGTGCCCCACAGTGCCCCACAGTGTCCTACCGGGTCCTACCGTGCCCCACCGTACCCCACCGTACCCCACCGTACCCCACCGTGCCCCACCGTGCCCCACAGTGTCCTACCGGGTCCTACCGTGCCCCACCGTACCCCACCGTGCCTCACCGTGCCCCACAGTGTCCCACCGTGCCCCACTGTACCCCACCGTGCCCCACTGTACCCCACCGTGCCTCACCGTGCCCCACAGTGTCCCACCGTGCCCCACAGTGTCTTACCGTGCCCCACAGTGTCCTACCGTGCCCCACCGTGCCCCACCGTACCCCACCGTACCCCACCGTGCCCCACAGTGTCCTACCGTGCCCCACCGTGCCCCACCGTACCCCACCACAGTGTCCTACCAGGTCCTACCGTACCCCACCGTGCCCCACCGTGCCCCACAGTGTCCTACCGTACCCCACCGTGCCCCACCGTGCCCCACCGTGCCCCACCGTGCCCCACCGTGCCCCACCGTGCCCCACCGTGCCCCACCGTGCCCCACAGTGCCCCACAGTGTCCTACCGTGCCCCACCGTGCCCCGTGAGGTCCCCAAGCCAAAGCACCGTACCCGGTCCGTGATGCTGCCCCCCCTCCCCGGCCGCCCCTTCCCAAGCCTCCCCTCTCCCCGTGCTCGAGGCGCGCCCGGTGCGAGCCCCCGTGCCCGGGGAAGGCCGGGGACAGCCCCGCCGGGCGGGAGCAGGAAGCGCCCGGAGCCGCCCCGTCGGGGCCGCCGCGATTGCGGCTCCTCGGGCAGCGCGACCCGAGCGGGCTGCGGGGCCTGGGGCTGGGGGCTCGGAAGGGGGAAGCCCCGGGAGCCGCTGATGCTGCGATGGGGCCGCCCCGGCCGAGCACGGAGGCAGCGGGGGGACAGCGGAGGGGACAGCGCGGGGCTCCGGGGGGTCCGGTCCCACCCGGTGCGCTCCGGGGGGGGGGGCGGCGGCAGCCCCGGTCCCACCCGTGCCGCTGCCGCCGCGGAGCCGCCAGGAACTGCCCCGGGTTTTCCTGCCCGTCCGGTCCCGTCCCATGGCAGCGATGGGGCCGGGCCCGGAGGGCGCAGCCCGGGGACCCCGGCCCGGTATCGGTTCTGCTTTCGGGGGAGGCGGCGATTTCGCAGTAACGGGGGGCGGGTGCCACCTGCCCCGGGGATTCCCCACCTGCCGCCGCCCCATAAGAGCCCGGTGGTGGCGCCGGTGGCGGCACCGACCCGCGATGGAGCCGCTCCGACGCCTCTGCCTCTGCCTCTGCCTCCCGCTGCTGCTGCCGCCGCCCGCGGCCCCAGCCCCGGTACCGGGCCCCGGCCCCAACTGGGCCGCCTGCAGGAGCCTCTCTCGGGAGCTGTCGGGGCTGGTGGCGACCCTCGAAGAGCCCCACGGGGTCCTGGTGAGCGCGGACGGGAGGGCTCGGAAGGGGGGGTCCAGGGGCAGGGGGTGCCGGGGGACGTGGGGACCTCATTGCCCCCCCCTTGGCCAGGAGGAAACGCACCTGAGCGAGGAGGACCCCAAGAATTGGCCCCCCCGGATCCGCTGCAGCGACGCCTGCGACCCCTCCAATCTGGACACCAACAACACGGTGCATGGGGTGCTGGGGGACAACGGGGGCCTCAGGGGGTCCCATGGGTGCTGGGGTTTGTGCCTGGGGTCCAGAGAGGGGCGGGGATCCCAGGGATGCTGAGGGATGCACTTGGGGTTCCCATGGGTCCTGGGGATGCTAGGGATGCTGAGGGATGCACTTGGGGATCCCGTGGGTCCTGGGGGTGTCAGGGATGCACTTGGGATTCTATTGGTGATGGGGGTACCAGGGATACTGGGGGATGCACTTGGGGTTCCCGTGGGTCCTGGGGGTGCTAGGGACGCACTTGGGATTCCTATTGCTGATGGGGGTACCAGGGATGCTGAGGGACGTGCTTGTGATTCCCACGGGTCATGAGGGTCCAAGGGGTTCAGTTCGGATTCCTGTTGGCCCTGGCGGTCCCAGGGATGCCGAAGGATGCTCGTGGGGCCCCCAGGGGTGCCGGGGGCTGTGCGGGGGTCCCCTCTGACCCCCGTGTCCCCACAGCGCTGCCTGCACCGCATCCTCCAGGGGCTGCAGCACTACCGGGACCTGCTGAGCTCCGACATCTTCACCGCCCGCCGCCTGCCCCCGCTGGAGGCCGCGCTGGAGCAGCTCCTGGGGCTGGTGCAGGTGAGGGGATGGGGACCGGGGGGACCCCCACCGGGGCTCCCCATCAGCCCCTTAACGCCGCTGTCCCCGCAGGAGGAACCCGCCCGCCCGGCCCCGCGCCCCATGGCCCGCAGCGAGCCCTGGGCTCAGCCGCTCCTGCAGCGCCTGGCGCTCCAGCGGCTCCAGTCCTTCAGCACCATCATGAGCCGCGTCTTCACCCACAGCGCCGAGCCCCGCTGAGCCCGGGACCCCCCCGCCTATTTATCCCCCTCCGGAGGGGTTATTTATGCGCCGTCGGGCGCTATTTATCGCGGGTATTTATGGGTTGCGAATAAAGGGCTGAAGGAAAGGAGCGGCTCCGTGCGTGCGGCACAAACCGGGTGGGAAGGGGTTTATTTAGGGGGGGGTCATTGGAAGTCGTTGGCATCGATGTGGAGCGGGGGGAAGTCGGTGCTGAAGAGGGACCCGACGGCCGCGGGCAGCGCCGCGTCCTCGGGCTGCGGCAGGAACGGGTCGTGGGCATCCAGGAGCGCGGCGCTGCCTGCGGGGAACGGGCGGAGCTCAGCGCCCAAGGGACGGCCCCGGCCCCTCCGGTCCCTCCGGCCCCGGCACTCACCCTCCGGCCCCGGCCCCTCCGGTCCCGCCGGCCCCGGCACTCACCCTCCGGCCCCGGCCCCTCCGGTCCCTCCGGTCCCGGCACTCACCCTCCGGCCCCGGGCCCTGCCCCTCGGCCGCCTCCAGCGCGTTGGGCATCAGCTCCGCCGCTTCCAGCGCTTCCAGGGTCCCCGAGCCCTCTGCCAGTGACTGCAGGAGCTCCTGCATGTCCAGGCTCCCGGGCAGCGGCTCCAGGTCCCGCAGCTCCAGCGGCAGCGGCTCCGGCTCCTCAGGGACCAGCAGCGGCTCCACAGCCCCGGGTACCGGCTGCAGCATCCCCGCATCCCTGGGTACCGGCTGCAGCATCCCCGCATCCCTGGGTACCGGCTGCAGCATCCCCGCATCCCTGGGTACCGGCTGCAGCATCCCCGCATCCCTGGGTACCGGCTGCAGCATCCCCGCATCCCTGGGTACCGGCTGCAGCATCCCCGCATCCCCGGGTACCGGCTGCAGCATCCCCGCATCCCCGGGTACCGGCTGCAGCATCCCCGCATCCCTGGGTTGCCTGCAGCATCCCCGCATCCCCGGGTACCGGCTGCAGCATCCCTGCATCCCTGGGTACCGGCTGCAGCATCCCTGCATCCCCGGGCACCGGCTGCAGCATCCCCGCATCCCTGGGTACCGGCTGCAGCATCCCCGCATCCCTGGGTACCGGCTGCAGCATCCCTGCATCCTCAGGCACTGGTTGTGGCATCCCCCCATCCCCAGGCACTGGTTGTGGCATCCCTGTATCCCCAAGCATTGGCTGCGGTATCCCCATGTCCCCAGGCACCGGCTGCCCTCCAGGCACCACCTGCAGCATCGCCACAGCTCCTGGTCCTGGCTGCAGCATCCCCTGGCCCTCGGGGATGAGCTGCAGCACCAACTGCGGCTCCATGCTCCCAATCCCCGGCTGCAGCATCTCCAGGACCCCTGATGCCACCTGCAGCGGCTGCGATGGCTCCGGGCCTGGCGGCTGTGGCTGCAGCAGCGCGGGGCTCGTGGCCATCACCTGCACTGGGCCCAGGTTCCCATGCAGGACCTGCAGCATCCCTGGCTCCAGGGGCGGCTGCATCCCGGAGCTGCCAGGCTGCAGCTTCAGCGTCTCCAGGTTTTCCGTGGCTGTCACCAGCTCCTCTTCCGTCTGCCAGGACTCATTCGCCTGCCTATGGGAAGGGATGCAGGGTGAGGTTATGGGGTTGGGGGGTCAGGGGGGGACCCCCATTGCCCCGTGCCATCGCCCTGCATCACCTGGAGGACACACGGATGAGGCGCCGGTTCAGGTACTTCTTCTGCTCCATCAGGTTCCCTGTGGACAACAAGGGGATGTCAGGGGGGTGCAGACCCCATCACCCCCCTCCCTCGTTGCACCCCACATCGGGGCCGTACCCTCCTCCCTCTTGCTGTAATAGGGCCCGAAGGCTTCGTCGCGGGGGATGTTGGGGTGCAGGAAGCGGAGCGGGTTCTCGGGGATGTTCTCCTCCACCAGCAGCTGGTAGTCACGGATGATGTCCGGCAGCGCCAGGGACACCAGCTCGGTTGCAGTGTAGGGGACCACGGCGTGGAACGCGGGGGGCCCTATGGGGAGGAGGCTGTTGGAGGATATGGGGATACCCGTGTGGGGACCCGCTATTGGGATATGGAGATACCTGTATGGGCACCCACTATTGGGATATGGGGATACCCGTGTGGGGATCCGCTATTGGGATATGGGGATATCCTGTATGGGCACCCACTATTGGGATATGGGGATATCCTGTATGGGCACCCACTATTGGGATATGGGGATATCCTGTATGGGCACCCACTATTGGGATATGGGGATATCCCGTATGGGCACCCACTATTGGGATATGGGGATATCCCGTATGGGGACCCACTACTGGGATATGGGGATATCCCGTATGGGGACCCACTATTGGGATATGGAGATATCCTGTATGGGCACCCACTATTGGGATATGGGGATATCCTGTATGGGCACCCACTATTGGGATATGGGGATATCCTGTATGGGCACCCACTATTGGGATATGGGGATATCCTGTATGGGCACCCACTATTGGGATATGGGGATATCCTGTATGGGCACCCACTATTGGGATATGGGGATATCCTGTATGGGCACCCACTATTGGGATATGGAGATATCCTGTATGGGCACCCCCTATTGGGATATGGAGATATCCCCTATGGGGACCCACTATTGGGCTATGGGGATATCCCATATGGGCACCCACTATTGGGATACAGGGATATCCCATATGGGCACCCACTACTGAGATATGGGGATATCCCATATGTCCACCCACTACTGGGCTATGGGGATATCCTGTATGGGGACCCACTATTGGGATACAGGGATATCCCATATGGGCTCCCACTACTGGGCTATGGGGATACCCTGTATGGGCAACACCCAAAACCCACCCACACAAACCCACCCAAAACAAACCCACCCCAACAAACCCAAACCACACCAGGGATATCCCATATGGGGACCCACTATTGGGATACAGGGATACCCCAGATGGGCTCCCAGTACTGGTCTGTGGGGGGGCGCTCACCGCTCTCGGGATGCTCCACCCAGGTGCAGGTGACCCCCCCCAGGACGCTCTCACTGAACCGGATCAGGAACGTCCCCGTCCGCTTCCCCTTGAGCAGCTTCTTCTCCTGCTTCCGGCTCACGAAGCCCAGGATGAGCCTGGGGGGAGGCACCGTCAGCCCCACGGGACCCCCCCATTCATCCCGCCCCCGGACCCCCCCATTGATCCCCCCCCCCGGACCCCCCCATTGATCCCCAGCCCCCCGGGACCCCCCCATTGATCCCCCCCCCCCCCGGACCCCCCCATTGATTCCCCCCCCCCCCGGGACCCCCCCATTGATCCCCAGCCCCCCGGGACCCCCCCATTAATCCCCCCCCCCCCGGGACCCCCCCATTGATTCTCCCCCGCCCCTTACCCGTCCTTCCAGAGCTGCTTGAGGTGCTCCTGGAGCAGCCCCAGGATCCCGTCCAGCCAAGCCCAGAAGGAGAAGCCGGCGGCACCGTCCTGCAGGGAACGGGGGGCCATGGGGGCCAATGGGGGGCTATGGGGGGCTATGTGGGCCATAGGGGGCTATGGGGGGGCCATGGGGACCATAAGGGGCTATGGGGGGGCCATGGGGGCCATAGGGGGCTATGGGGGACTATGGGGGCAACGGGGGCCATAGCGGGCTATGGGGACTATGGGGCTATGGGGGGACTATGGGGGGCAATGGGGGGCAATGGGGGCCATAGGGGGCTATGGGGACTATGGGGCTATGGCATGGGGCATGGGGGACACACACAAAGGGGACCATGGGGGCTATGGGGTACAATGGGGTGCAACGGGGGCCAAAGGGGCTATGGGGTCAGTGGGGGCCAATCAGGGCTCACCTTGGAGAACTTGGTCCAGCTCAAGGTGCTCTCTGGAGTCGGCTTCGAGCCTTGGGGGGCAGAGCAGGGTGAGGGGGGGCGGGGCAGGGTGAGGGGGGGCAGAGCAGGGGCAGGGGGGGCAGAGCAGGGTGAGGGGGGCGGGGCAGGGGCAGGGGGGGCAGAGCAGGGTGAGGGGGGGCAGAGCAGGGTGAGGGGGGGCAGAGCAGGGTGAGGGGGGCAGAGCAGGGTGGGGGGGCAGAGCAGGGTGAGGGGGGGCGGGGCAGGGTGAGGGGGGCGGGGCAGGGGCAGGGGGGGCGGGGGCAGGGGCAGGGGGGTCTCGGGGTGTCCATCCCCCCCCCCCCGTACCGAAGAGCTTCTCGGCCAGCATGAGGAGGTGATCCCGGGCCAGGCCCCGCTCGGCCACGCTCTGGAACTGCCAGCTCAGAACCTGCGCCAGCAGCGGCCATGGGGCAGCGGGGGGGGCTGAGAAGAACTGGACCTGGGGAGCCTGTGGGGTGGGAGGGGAGAGAATGGGGATGGGGAATAGGGATGGGACAGGGATGGGGATGGGGATGGGATAGAGAATAGGGATAGGGAACAGGGAACACTGATAGGGAACAGGGATAAGGACTGGGATAGAGAATAGGGGTAGGGATAGGGGTAGGGAACAATGACAGGGAACAGGGATAAGAACTGGGAAGTAGAATAGGGATAGGGAACAGAGATAGGGAACAGGGATAAGATAAGGACTAGGAGAGAGAGTAGGGATAGGGAATAGGGAAAAGGGAGAGGGACAGGGACAGAGAACACAGGCAGGGAACAGGGATAGCAACAGGGACAGGGAGCAGGGATAGGGACAGGGAACAGGGACAGGGACCAGGGGTAGGGAACAGGGACAGGGAACAGGGACAGGGACAGGGAACAGGGACAGGGACCAGGGACCAGGGATAGGGAACAGGGATAGGTAACAGGGACAGGGACCAGGGACAGGGACAGGGGATGGGGACAGGGACCAGGGCCATGCACTGGGGCAGAGGGCAGGGGCCCAGAGCCCTGCACCAGGCACAGGGGGCCAGGCCCATGCTGAAGGGGGGGGGGGGTCCCCACTTGCCTTGGGGTCGGGGCTGAGCATATTGAACCAGAGGATGGAGGCCCAGGCGCTGGAGAGCTGGCTCGTGTTGGAGATGATGATGAAGGGCAGCGTGGAGGTCTGCGGGGAGAGCAGGGCTCAGGCTGCACCCCCGGACCCCCCCCAGGGCCCCCCCGGCCCCATCGCTCACCT